GGTGGGTGTTCGGCCCTGGCACGGGTGGATGTTCGGCCCTGGCACGGGTGGGTGTTCGGCCCTGGCACGGGTGGGTGTTCGGCCCTGGCACGGGTGGATGTTCGGCCCTGGCACGGGTGGATGTTCGGCCCCGCGGCCGCCCGCCCGCCGGGTTCCCGGGGCTAGCGCCGCTCCCTCTGTCTGAGAGACTATTTTGCTGTTTTGCTTGCTCTTTTTTCCTTCTTTATTGTTTTAGCGCCTGGCTAGACAGCTCTCTGCAGCGTTGCTTTATTGCTTGTGCCGCGTTCCCTCTTCTCCGGGCCGGGGTAGCGCAGCTCCAAGGGAGGAGGTGCGGCAGCGGCGGAGCGCTGTCAAAACTGCGGAAAGCAAAGCACCTGATGGCAAATTGAGAAGGCAGCCAGTTTTCTGGGAATGGGATTTCTTTCTCTGCTTTTTGGGACGATGTGTGAAAAGCGCAGAATTTCACTTTCTGAACTTGCCTAAACCAGCTTTTTCCTGCCTCCGCACAGTTGAGTTTAATTAAATGTGCCTAATTTAAGTACAAGGGCTGCTAAACAATAGTTTGTGACATGTGTAGCACAAACCCGTGTTTCCTCCCTCCAAACGATGTCAAAGCAGGCAACTTTGGGAGTTCCCTTTTTGCTGGGTGCTTGTGAATTATTTGTTTTCTGAAGATGTAAAGCTCAGCCGTCAGCTGGTGTCGGTTGCTGGAGTGGGATTTTTGCTGAATTGTGGCAGTGGAGAACCTTTTTTTTTTGTGGCATAAGAACCCTGACTTTCAAATGTACCCCCAAATAACCATTCTTGAGAGAACATTGAGTTTTGTCTGGGGAAGCACTTGGAAAGCAGATAATGCTTCCCTTTCAAGGACACTTGAAATTGTGAAGTGTTATCTTGACTATTCCTGCTGCCTATCAGTGTACTTGCAAAGGAATTTTATTTTGGATTTTGTAGTAACCTCCCATGACCAAATGATACAATATTGGGAGATTCTTGCCTTCTGGCAGCTTTTACGTTTCTTTTTACAAGATTCTTCATGTCCTCCCTCTATGTCAATAACTCAGTTTCACAACGCGAATGTGGCAGGAGTCTTCTTCTCTATTGCTTTGCACTTGCAAATCTGATTAGTTTGGGGCAGTGAAAATGGTACTAGCAGAGGAGCATCAGCATTGGTGCTTGTGCATATTCTCCATTAGAGAGTGTTTAGGGTGGTCAGGCTGCTTCATTAGCGCCATGGATTTGTAGCAGGAGTGCTACAAGATCATCAGGTGTGGGTCAGGCTACTCTCCACATTTTAAATTCTATTTAATGGGCCAGAAAACACATTAGCTTGTTTTTGCAGGCTTGATGCTAGCTGGAGGATAAAGGATACCTGTTCTGTCAGGAAGGCTGCTGGTATGGAGGTGACCTATTGGTGTTTTAGGAACAAACTTCAGCTTTAGGGAGTATCTGCCTCTGTGAATATGGTGGGTTTTATCTGGGATTAAGATCCCTACCACCTCTTTTATGGCAACAATGCCCTCAGGTGTTTCAGGGAAGGTTGGTTGAACAAAACCCATGGTTTTTTTTATGTAGAGATGTCTAACTCTGGCCAATTCACTTTCCATGAGAACGTGTCAAGACATGCATGAGAAACTGAAATAGTACAATATTTGAGTTGCTGTAAGAAAAGTTTGTAGAAGTTATATTTTGCAGAAATCAAGAGCTTTATGTGTATTTGAGACGTCTGTGTAAGTTCTCTTGTACCTCAGTGGTATTTGTAGCTGGAGCAAGATGATACTACAGAAAAATTCTTGTAAATTTTCATTCATTTTTTTACAAAAACACAGTACTTTTTTTACTTTGTTCCGTCAGCTGACTGAACTCTCAAAAACTTTCTCTCCTCCCAGGTATGCAAACTAACTGTTATTTAAGACCAGAACTGTAAATATTTAGCATAAGGGTGAAAATTGGGAGAGTTTTAATGAGTTCAACATTTTTTAAATATTTTTTTTTTTTACGTATTGGAACTGTTGTAAAAGCCTGTTCTTCCCCTAAACTTAATTTGCAACTCTTGAGTGAAGAGTTGGGTAAATGTTGTGATGACTTATACACTTAAAACTTTAAAATTCTTTTGACCTCATTCTAAGTTCCAAACTCTTCCAATAAGGTCGAATATTTAAGAAGGTCTTGACCCAAAGCAATTATACCACAGGCCATTAGTTCAAATGCTGTAGGAATAAAAATATGATTAACTTGTGCAGCTTCTTTGGAGCTTTAATATGGTGAAGCTTTCCAGAAACCAAGTCATGGATTCCTGCATGCTTGCAGAATTCAGCGGCCAGACAGCTGTGCCAGCAGGTGTGGGGGTGCAAAGAACCTGATGTGAGATATCGTATTTAAATTTTGGCTTCCCCCTGCCTAAATTTCTCATCTGATTCAGGTGAGTATATGTACGAATTCCTCACCCCTAACTGTTAAACCTAGGCCAGATTTTGTGCACTGTTTCTGCCGAACTGCAGAAGCTTTTGGGTGCTGGAGTTTTGGACCTGTTCTCATCTGTAAAGCCACAGGCATTCAGAGAGCACTGTGCAGAGGAGTGCGTTAGGAGCAAATGTTGGCATCCTTAGGAGCAAATGTTGGCATCCAGGCTGAGAGAGATGACTCCGGAGCAGTATCAGATCCTGCATGTGTGTGGAGCAATGCTGTCTATTTCAGAAATCTACTGCAGGCACTTCTGTCACTTCATTACTGTAGTAAATCATCTCTAAGGAAAAAAAACCCTCTCTGTGGCAGCAGTTAGGCAAGAGCTGTGATTATGTCAGTAATGCCAGGAAGCAAATGGGGCTGGATGCCTTTGAGTGGTTGATAATATTGAGGGTGTGGGGTTGGAAGAGAGAATGGAAACAGAGATGGGTGTTTCTTTTCTCCTGTCTGCATCTGAAATGGTACATTTTGCTCTTTGGCATTGTTTTCCCATAAACAGCAGTACCTGTGTTTGAAGCAGGCACTTGAGCAGTTTACTCTAAACTGCTGCACTGTTTCACTGATGACCTGGGTAGCCTTCAAGGTTGTGAATGCTATGAGTGGATCATTAACTGAGCAGGCAAGGAAAAAATTCTTAATGCCCTTTCAGGGTGCATGCCTGTACATGCTGGATGGCTTTTCTTAGAGCATTTTGTGTATGGATTGTCAAAAGGAGAAGAACTGCAGCCTGTGTAAAGAGGATCTCGAGTCTTCACACATCTGGAAGAAATAAGAGAAAAAGAATCACTCATTCTGAATTGTTACTGTGTTCAGTATAATCCTCCTACTTTGGAAGGGTATTAATGTTTTAAGTAGGTGGACACAATGATCAGCAGTGTTAGTGTCATAGGAGAGGCTAATGTGGTTCTTCAGTATCAGACAGGCTGAGATAAGAATGCTTATTCCTGACATCTCATTTTGTACTAATCAACTGATCATTTGTTGAGCTCTCAGCCTCGCTAATACCAGTTCTGCTTGGGGATTAGTGTGGGTTGGGATCAGCCTGGGACTAAATCAGCAGGCAGGTCACTACCAACACATGATAAACATGATAAAGGATTTTAAAGAAGTGGGAACTCAGACTGTGTGCAGGTCCTAATGAAGCTGCTCCCATGCACCTGCGTACATTTATGAAGGTAGCCCAGTGCTGACATAAGAGCTGTGTGATTCCTTGGCACCAGGTTTATTAGAATGCAGGGAGATACTCTGAATCAATTAATCCAGCTGTTCATGCCATCATTTACCTGAATATCTCCTTTGTACACCAGAGCTGTGTCTGCTTCTCAGCCATGGCTGCTACTTGAAGACGTTTTACTAATCTGACATTCAGCTGTCAAAATGCCCTTTCTTGCTTTTTTTTTTTTTCTGAAAGGCATTCATCTGAGAGCTCTTAATCAAATACATCCACAAGGATGAAGGATGTATTTTTGATATTATTTTTCTCACCGAGAAGACTGCATAACTGAAAAGTAAATCTGATTTATTTCTTAAAAACTTACATTAATTCTCAGACGTACTCTGTCTTGCCAGTTCTCTGTTCTTTTGTGAGCAGTGCTGATATCCTAGACACAGAAGTTGCCTGGTTACATTATACAGGCCCAGTTCTTCCTCTTTTTACCCATTTTAACCCGGTGTTTCTCCAGAGACCACCCCTGTTATCTCAGAGAACCAAATGCAGATTGAGGCTAGGGTAGTCCATAAACTCTTTGTGGCTGACTGTGTAACTTGCTCGTTGCAGAGATGTCCTTGCACTGCCGATCTTCAAGCAGGAAGAGCCGCAGCTGTCTCCTGAGAACGATGCCAAGCTGCCACCCTTTCAGTACGTCCTCTGCACAGCCACCTCACCCGCCGTGAAACTGCACGAAGAAACTCTGACCTACCTCAACCAAGGTAGGGTCTGCAGTACGCTGAAGGAGAGGATATTTCCTGGGAGCAGTTCATGAGATTTAATCCCATACTTTGCCTTACTGGGAGGACAGTGGGATGGGAAAAGAGGGATAGAAGTGGGGAGGGGGGGTGAAGAAAAGGAGGAATATTTAATTTTCTGCATTTAGATACCAGATGATCAACTATTTAAAAGTAATGAAGTACCACTGATTTAACTGTTGACTTAAGGCAGTGTTGTAGCATGCACAGTTCCCTGTGGCAAAGTACTGGCTTGATCTCAGCTTAAGCTGCAGCCTCCTGCCTTCATCTCACAAGGCCAGATTGATGAAGCAGATGGGCCAGCTTGGACTGGGGAGGGCTCTTACCACTGCAAGTCCCCCAGCACTGCTGGAGGGCATGGTCAGGGAGTGATTTAGCAGGTATCCAAGGGCTGCTCTGAGGTCTGGCCAGTGACATCTCCCCCACAGGCTGGCTGGTGTGGCTCTGCTCAGTGCCTGACTTGACAAATTGCCAGGGTTCAGTGCAGCAAGGTCCTCTATAGCTGACCTCACAGACTGGTTCACACTCCTGGATAAACAAACACTTGGTCTGAGTTTTTTCTTTTCCCCCCTTTGGCACCATTTGTGCAGACACATCTGTGTTGGTGTTTGGCTGTCGCTTTGCAGCACCTCCTGTGTGTGTGCCTTGAGGGGATCAGACTTCTCCATGCACAGATTATGCTAAAACATATTTATGCTCAGTTTCTGCCAGGCAGTAAAAAAGGGCCTAACAACAAGCTGCAGGCTGTCTGCCCTTTTACTGAGATCCTTTCCTGCGCCAGGATACTGCCCCAGCTCTTTAAGCTTCAAGCACTGAGTAGGATGCTCACTTGGGTGCCTCCCTGGATAGGTTTCTTTTAATGCTGGTAGAAATCGGAGCCCTGACCTCCCTTGGACTCTGACCTCAGGTGCAGTTGGATCTGTGCTGGTAGCCCCATGGAACCAGCATGGAAATATCAGTGAAGTACTGCAGGCTCTACCCAAGGAACCAGGGATTTCCTGTCACGTAAGCTGGCACTGTTCTCTCTCTCAAGATCCAAAGAATCTTGGGATATGTGACTGTGTCATCTCAGTTTATTCACCTAAACACAGCAGATCCCAGGAGGTTTTAATGGGGTGTATCTGTTGTGAGATTGAGACAAATCTTCCTAGAAACACAATTCTTTTCTGTATTGGAAGAAAATATTTTTTTTAAATGAAAATCTGTTGGCAGCCAAATATTTTAGCATAAGTGAGACAGTGCCTACTTTTTTACCTTGGCAGGGAAAAAGCTGGACAACTCTTAATGCAATATCATGAGTTTTTAAAAAAACTTTGTGACTGGAGCAGTCCACATTTTTCTTTGCTAAGTGAGACTGTTACTGCCTTTTTGGATAGTTGTGTTAGGCTTTGTCCTACTTACTATTGCAAGGAGTTGTCTACTGCTACATCTTGACATTGCTTCCTCCTTCACTGGCATTTCTTGGATATCATCTGTCTTTCATTCCCCATGGTGGGATGTGTCTTTGCAGAGCACACCCTGAAGAGCATGAAGCTGGGCAGGCCTGGAGGAATGAAGCAGGGATGAGGCTGGCAGGAGCTGTGCAGAGGGGCCGAGCTGGGAAGCTGGGGTGTCTAGTTTCTGTTAGTGGGCTATTGGTGAGAAGATTGCCATGGGTTAAAAATGGATGAGGATTTAAAGGCTCTGTCAGAAAATTAATCCCCGTAGTAGAGTTATGTTCTATGAGCTTGAGGAGGTGTGTGAAGGGGACCTCGAGGCAGCTGAAGTTTCTGGAACCAATGCTTGTGGCCCAGGAGAAGAACTGGCTGACTCCAAAGCACTGTGACCCAGCTACAATGCTACAGCCATCTCGTGAAGCAATTTAAGACCATTCCCTACACCTTATCAGCTTGTGCTTGCTGCAAGCAAAGGGACACCTCTTGCACCTTAACCTCTCTCTGTGTTTATCATGGATTGGCCAAGCACTGTTACATAAAACTTCCCATCTTGAGTGTTGTGATGGATTATTTTAGCAAATGGGTAACTTCATTAATGAATGTCCCTCTGCCCTGTGTCAGTCATGGCTGGCTTGTAGTAAGGTAGATACAAAGACACACAGTGGCTGTCCCAGCACCAACAAACCAATTCACATCTGGTGTGGTTACTTTCCCAAATTGTGAATGAAGGTTTTGGGGTTTTCTGCTTGCTAGGTGATTCTTGTCACTTGCTATTCAAATGTTTCTTCTCAACTTTAGCTCTTCAACACTCAGTTACTGACCTTTTATCACTGTTAAGCAGCTCTGCTTCCTGCCCTGAAACACATTCTCCACACGTGACTGGTTCAGTGGTGGTGAGTGGGCCAGCTCAGGAATGTCCATAATGCAGAACTGCATGGAAGAAAGCTTGGTCAGGCTTGATCTATAGGCTGTGGAAAGCTGGAAGTACTGGGTAGCAAATTGAAGGTCAAGTTGCATAGCAGAGATAGAAGAGGAATCAGTGGAGAGTTTCACAAAAGATCTGAATAGACTTCATATGGGCTTCATATAGGAAGGAATCCAGTGGCTGTGTTTGTGTACAGGTGGGAGAGGGCTCCAGGCATGTGGAGCATAATGGCTTCTCTTGTGCCTTGCTTCTTACAGGACAGACCCAGAGGGATAGTGAGGGGTGTTGAGGAGGAAGAGGTCTTTGGCCTGGGCTCTCCCCAAGGATGGAGGCTGAGAGGACTCTGGAGCTGTAAACCAGAGACCAGTGTTTTCACCAAGGGGCAGGGGAAGTATTTGCAAGGGAGCATAATGGAGTGAGCTTAGTTCTTAAGTTGACTTGGGGACATTGAGCAGTGGCAGAGTCCCAAGTTAGTCTGCTCCAGTTTGAAACCATGCGTGCTCTCTGGCCACAACTCCAGAACCAGCCTGTAAATGAGGTAACTAGAGGCAAATCTGTAGCTTGGTTTCCAAAGACTGACTCATTACACTTGTCTTTCCCGATCTCTTTCCTCCCCTGCCTTCCCACATTCCTTGGGAAACTGAAGCCAAATTGAACACAATATTAGTTTGCTGATCCTTAGGGCAGTTCCTTCATTAAGAGGTCTTTACTAGGTCTCAGGAGGATTACTCATCTGATGGGACAAAGTACAGGCTTATTAGTATGGTGTCTCAATACCACTCCACCTTCAGTCCATGAGGCTGGTAAAGGTGCTGTCCTTGCACAGGAAGCTGCTGCTGGCATTGCTCCTTTGGTCAGGGATCATATCTGTCGACAGAACTACACTGTCCAGAAGTCTGCAGCACAAACATCCTAACGTTTCTGGAACTAGCCTGCCTTTTAGCACTGTTTCAGTGTCTCCTGTGGATAGGGATTTTCAGACAAACAATCAACCAGCAACCATATTACAAACCACTGCTTCAGCAAGACAGCTTGGTGCAGTGTGTATTCCATGGTCTGCAGTCATATGGGGTGTGGTTTGACCGTGGCTGGTTGAAACCAGTTTCAAACATGGACAGAAATGGAAGCAATGAAAGGTGGTTCCAGAAATTGTAGCAGGAGGAATGTGGAGGAAACAAGCACTGTGTACAGCAGATCTGAATGCTAATAAATGTGAGGAAATAAAGTAATTCTTTTAAAAAACAGAATGTCAAGAATAAAAAAACCCCTGAAAATCGTTGCCCAAGGGAATTATCCTGTAGTGCCAGAACCACATGTGGACTGTGAGCTGTTCAAGTCATGATTTTGTTTCATGACCAGTGTTGGGCTGGCTCAGAACCTCAGATGTTAATTACTTCAAACAGGGGGAGGCTAAGTTTGGTGGCAGAGGGTCACTGAGAGCAGGCTGTGTGAGAAAGCCAGCCCAGTGTCCCAGTTGTGCTTCAGAGTAACTTGCCGTCATCTGCCTGTAAAGTTTTCTTGGGCCTCGTTCAGCTCTCCCAATCTGCAGTGTGTGATTTGTGGTTCTTGGCTGTGCAAAGATTTTAGTGTACAGCTGGTTAGGGTTTGGAAGGCTGGACATCTCTGCTTTATGGTGTCTTCCAGGAGTCAGCCTTAGTGCCAGTCCTAGATGGTTCAGAAAACAAACAAGCCAAAAACCCAAGCCATGAGGGAAAAACACTAACATCTGAGAGAACTTGTGATATTGGGAGTGTTGCTGTAGAGGTGCATTAGCAAACGATGCCTCCTAAACCTAATGATGGACTTAATTGGAGTCTGGGTCACACCTAAGCAAAAGCCCCAGATTTCAACCCCAGGGTGCCAAGGCATATATCCAGGTTCAAGATATGTGTGCATAAAGTGGTACATTTAAAATCTGTTGGGTGTTGTCCTGCCTCAGCTCCGCTGCAGATGTGCTCTGGCTGCTTTTCCAAAGAAAGGTGGAGGAAGCACTGGGCAAGGAATGGCTGAAGAGGATGCTGTGGAGTAGATTGCTAATTGTTTGGGTAGGAGATGAAATTGCTTACAGCAGGAGGCAAAAGAGAACCTTTGCCTCCCTTAAAAAGTCTAAAGTTCAAATTTGGTTGTCTAATCTTCTACAGCCAGAGAACCCAGTTTTAAACACTGAGATTTACAGTAAATGAAAAAAGCTGTTTTATATTGACGTTAACTCCTACGTAATTGAGTTTTTATGGGGTCACAACTGCCTGGATGTTTGTCCTTTTCCTGGAACAGTTCTTTATTTGCCTGAATGAAGTATAGAGAAGGCTGAGTGACCAGCTCTGGCTGGGTGTTCTTCTGATTTAATTATAGCTGTGTTTATGGGGATATTTTTGCTTTGTCCCGTGCAAGGAGCTACCTCTTTTCCTGACAGTCACTGCCATCACTGACCAGGCCCCGGGCATGTGTAGGAGCTCTGCTGCTGGTGGCTTCTCCCATGTGGACAAATGCTCCACTCCTGCCTTAGATCACAGACACAGCAGCAGTGGCTTTGTGTCATTGAGACTGTGAGTACCAGGTGCTCCCTGGTGCCAGCCCACCAACCCATGCATCCTTTTTCCCTA